CTCGCCGGAGCATCGACCTCGCGTGCCGAGCGCCTATGTACATATGTGTAGCGTATGTATGCCCGGTTTGTTCATACGTTCATTCTCCAACTACTTGGCTATTACACCAATTCGTATTCGGTAATTCGTAGCCCGTAATTTCCTCCCACGTGCAAAATAATGGAATAATTTCGCGAAAACTCTCGAGCCGAGAGCACGATCTCTCCGACCCTCTGCGCGGATTCGGTGATAGTGACCAGTTTGCCCAGTGCCTCGCCTACTCTACGCACAGCGGATAACCGGTTAATCCGATAATCCGCTGCCACGGTCCATTGCCTCGTCGATCGGTCTATTCTCGTCCCTGGCGTTCACACGCGTCCTCCTCGCCGTTCTCCCTTTCTTTGCGTCATCTCCCAACCCTCTCGTTTATCCTTCGAATGCTACTTGTTTACCACCCTCATTCACATCACAAGGCCACGCGTTTTATCGTACCGTCCGCATTTGTCCGCTTCTGTCTCCAAGCACACGCTTCTGATTCCAAGTATCTGTGTCGCGTGCTCCTTGACGAGACTCCGCGAACTCGAATTCGCCCCCGGATAGGATTGGACTGCTGCGGAGAATATCAATCGTTGCGACTCGCGACGATGGCGGAAGAGAGAGAGAGAAAAAAGAAAAGAAACGATGACGCGACGGTTGGATCGCTTTACGAGCAATGTTTCTACGCTCGACGATAATTAATTCGACCGACCAACGTGTCGACGCGCCAACGTTTCAACAACAACTCGCCTCCGACTCCGTCGTCGAAGTCGCGCACGTTCTGAGAAAACTGCGAGTTCCTCGCGGGTTTTCTCTCTCGCGAGCACCGCCGCCGCGGGAAAAGTTTAGCCCGGGGAATTGGCGAGACGACGCGAGCGGAATTTTAACTAGAATCCGAAATGGCGAGGAATTTTCTCAAGGAATTTCTCGTTTACCAATTTCTCTCTGCTAGCCCCTCGTAGCAGCCAGCGAACGGCGAGGCTCAAGCGGTCGAGTTCGCCGAGAGGACAAAGCGCCGGGTATTTTCTGGGTTAGTCGCTCGAGAAAACGGTAGCCCGGTAACGCGATAAATATACATACATACATACATACATACATACATACATACATACATACATACATACATATACATACATACATCATATATAAATGTGTGTGTGTGTGTGTTTGTGTGTGTGTGTGTGTGTTTGTGTGTGTGTGTGTGTGTGTAGAGTGTCCCATATTTTCTCTTAAAATATTTGTTGTAGAGAAAAATGTTTCAAACAAATAAATAAATAAATATAGTCGTATATATATATATATATGTACGACTATACACGCGTATACGTTATATAAGTAAATTACATGCAGCATGTCCTACACGAAGCTATCCAGGCAATTTTAATTCGCTGTAGAGAAAAATGTTTCAAATAATAGACATATGTATATTGTGATTGTAGTATCGTAGGTGATTATCGATAAGTCGTTGTTAAGTTATAAACTGTAGTTGTACTAGGTGGCCTGTAATGTTTACCGATCGTACGAATTCATGAGAAGAAAGAAAGTGTGACGTTAGCGTTTTTCTTTTTGAAAAGGGGAGAGTCGAGCAAGTGTAAAAATGGAAAGAAAGACAGAGTCGATATGAGTTGTGAGAAAGAGTTTGTTTGAGTTATTACGTATATTACGTTGTTAATCTGTGTTTATATAGCTCGTTAGCTATATTAATTAATGTATTAATCATCTACTGTTTACTCACCAGAATTGTTATTAAATAAATATTATTTGTATTTAACCTCTACAATACGTGTACGTTATTTGAAATATTCTTCTCTACAACGAATAATTTAAGAGAAAATTGCATGGATAGCTTCATATAGGACACCCCATGTATAAGTATATATACACACAGAGGCGAGTGCACGCGCGCGTGAACGCACACACGAGTAGAACCCTAGATTAAATCCGGTTCTCTACGAAATCCCAGAAATCGCGGTGCCCACCGATCCGTGCGACGCGACGCGACGCAACGCCACGGTCAGCAATACTTTACACCTGCCACGCTGCAAACCTAATTAGATACGACGGGCTTAATCTTGCACGCGTAATGGGGTCGTTGAACGAAACTGGTAACGATCTCTCCTCTCCACTCTTCTCGTTTGTTCGTCGCTGGCAAAGCCGCGCAAAATTCGCTACCGACGTTCGACCCTACTTCGCTTCCGTCGATCGTCGAACCGGCTAATCCTAATTCGAATTCCCCCCTCCCCTCCCTCCTCTCCTCCTATCTCCCTCCTACCTTCCCCGATTTAATAAACCAGGCTCCATCAGCTACTTTGTACTCCCATCTACGTACCGCCAATAAGAAAGAATCAATCTTCGAAACCAACGAACCTGCCTCCGCTCGATTCCGATCGATCCCTTCCGGCATTTAACCCCCCCCCCC